CTCTCTCTCTCTCTCTCTCTCTCTCACCATAGAGGTTGACTTGACGACGTTCTCCCTGCTCGCTAGCCCCATCTCCGCCAGCTGATCCAGCGAGAGCCACCCCAAATCTGTCCCGGAGTCCCGGCGTTCATCTTGGCGTGCCCACACAGCGGCGGCAGTATCATCATCCGCGCCCGCCATCGCTCCGCCTGGTGGCGGGCTCAGCTCTGCCCCCTCCAGTTTTGAATAAGTTCCCAACCCATTGGCAGCGCCCTCCTGGAAAGATAAACGAGAATGGTCGGGCCGGGGAACAATGTCATCCGTCAGGGAGGGGCGCGCTGGCCTTAAGGCCCTTGCTTGCCACCAAGAACAAGCCCAGGACGGCTAACACGTCTGTCAGTCTTCCTAGATCAGGCCGAGCTTCCATGTCACGCACACGCACGCACACACGCACGCACAGGCAAGAGTTGCACGTAGATACCGCCCTTCACTTTGTTTTGCATCCGGTCATGCGTCATGAGTGAAACCGCTATGCATACGCGCAAAAGCATATGTCTGCGGCCGTTTTGTTGTCTTCCGGGGACAGCGTGCATCCGTAGTGTTCTGGGGACAGCGTCAATTATTGTATAGTGAGGACAAGCGTCAAGAGACAAAACAGAACAGCAGCAACGGTCTACAAAGAGGCAAGGCTCGCAGAACGCGCTTGCTTCCTCATGAAAAACGCGCTGAAGACGGGCGGCGCAACAGCAGCATCACCACTACTCACCTGGCGTTGTGACAGAATCGCACAAAGAGCTCAGAAAACCAGACACACACCCGCAGACCACGACAAGACGAGAAAAGGCAGCAACACACCCGGAAACTACTACTTCAACTTCCGCAGCTGTACAACATTTCACAAGCGTACCGTGGACAAGACAGACAGACAGACAGAGACACACAGATTCAGACAAGAAAGACAGACAGACCACATACCTCGTGTTCCCTCCGTCCCCCTTCTGGCTGATTTCTCCACTCGGCGCCGCGGTGAGGAAGGCTGGTGCCGCCGCCCGTGCTGCCGTTAGGCGTGAGGAGGCCGCCGCCGAGGCCAGGGTCGTGGAGGTTACCGTTGCTGCGGTTCGGTTCATCTTGCCCCTCATCGTGAAGCGGCCCCTGGAGACAAGAAAGTAGATAGGGTCGTAGCACAATTTTTCCACCATAGCCAATTTTCGTCAATCGTCGGGGG